CTGTCTACCCTGGCTGACCCTGCTGGTATTTACAATATTTGTGGCATAGCTTCCAGAATCACAGCAACTCACAAACCACCACAGTACCACAACTGACAGACGAGAATTGAATTGCTTAGGAGAATTCAAAAATAGTTGCAGCATTACCTCAAAAAGATGCTGATACAAATTTAAGGTGGATTTAGAAGAGAGCTTGGAATGAGAGATAGCAACATTGCTGGATATCAGATTAATTTGGTTAAAAACAGAGAATATGAGCTAATGTTTACTTGTGCTTTCTTGTCTAGGCAAACACATTCAACTGTGTTGATCATAACAAACTGTGGGGATAACATTGAGAAGAATATGAATATCTGAACACATAAATTGTGCTTATGTGGAACCTGTATATAGACCAAGAGGCAGAGCAAGGGGATATTGATTGGATTAATAAAATCCGGAATGATTTGTGCCAGGGTTGTATCCTTTCACCGTACTTATTCAGTTTGTATGCTGTACAAATTATTTGGGAAGGTAGATTATATAAAGAAGTACGTAGTATTAAGATTGGAGGGAGAGTCATTAACAACCTTGGCTTGTCAAAAGTGTAGAGGACATGAAACACTGATGAAGATCAAAGACTACAGGATTGCTCCTCAATGTAAAGGAAATGACAGTCCTCACTATCAGAGTAATAAGTAACATCGTGACAAATGGAGAAACGATTGAAGTTGTCAAAGACTTCATTTTGTTTGGAGCTCTGGTAGTGTAGTAGTTACTAGTTGGGCTGCTAACCTCAAGGCTGGCAGTTCAAAACTACGAGCAGTTCTGCAGGAGAAAAATGAGGCTTTCTGCTCCCATAAAGGTTTACAGCTTTGGAAACCCTATGCAGGGTTGCTGTGAGTCAGAACGGACTCCATAGCATATACCACCACCACCACCACAATCAATATTCAAGGATTCAGCAGTCAAGAAACCAAAGGATGGATTGCTGTAGGCAAATCTGTTACAAAAGACCTCTTTAAAGTGTTGAAGAGTGAAGATACCATTTTGAGGATTAAGATGTGCCTTACCCAAGCCCTGGTATTTTCAATTGCTTGTGAAAGTTGGATAATGAGTAAAGAAGATTGTGGAAGAATTGATGCATTTGAATTATGGTGTTGGCTAAGAATACTGAAAGTACCATGGACTGCCAGAAGAACAAACAAGATCTATCTTGGAACAGTTGCAGCCAGAATGCTTCTTAAAAGTGAGGATGGTGAGACTTTGTTTCTCATACGTTGGACATGTTAGGAAGGACCAGCCCCTGGAGAAGGACATCATACTTGGTAAAGTGGAAGGTTTGCAAAAAAGAGAAATACTCCCAACTAGATGAATTGTCTCAGTGGCAGCAACGATGGGCTAAAACATAACAATAATTGTGAGTATGATGTAAAACTAGGCAGTGTTTCATTGTGTTGTGCATATGGTTGCTATATGTCAGAACTAACTCAATAGCACCTAACAGCAACAACATATGAGTTTGAATTGACTTGATGGCAGTGGCTGGGTAAGTACCAGACCATGGTGTGTTTTGCTAAGTGCCATGGAACTGGTTCTGACTCATAGCAACCCCATATAGGGTTTCCAAGGAGTGATTTGTTGGTTTGAACCACTGACATTGTTGGTAGCAGTTCAGTGCTTATCCTACATTGCCATACCTCACAACTGTGCTGATAGTGTAGTATCTATTGTATTTTGGGATTTCAGAATCTTTGTACACTATCAAGCACTCAGATACTCAGTAAAGCTTTTTTCTTAATGAATGACCAGCATTGTAAATGCACTGGCTTTAATTTATGTTTATTTCAGATTATTATGTATATTTTATACTTTTCAAATTAAAATATAACATTCAGAAGAAAGTCTAAAAAGAGGTTTATTATTATTGTTGTTAAAGTGCTGTCAAAGTCAGTTCTGATACATAGTGACCTTATATAGGGTTTCCAGGGAGCTTCTGGTGGGTTTGCACTATCTACCTTGCAGTTCAGTGCTTATCCTACAGCACCACACCAGAACTTCAAGTTTAGTATCTAGCTCAATGTATTATTACAAAGTGGACACTGATGTATGGTCATTTTTCCAGACTTCTTCATAAGAGTTATCTTGAGGTTTTCATGTGTTCAAAGATAGTGTTTTTGTTGGACTGATATAAGTATACAGAGTTGAGTTTTACTAAGTGGAGTCATTCATGACTGAAATTGAGTGTGCAGCTTGAGAAGGGTCAGAAGCTGGGAAGGAGTCTGTTAAAGTGCTGGTTCTCTGTCTACAAATAACGTTACTTCTCTGTGATCCTTGATTTCTCTTGCCTAAAAAGTGTATTTTCTATGTTGTTCAGGATACAGTGAGGTGACACATTTAAAGGCACATTTCTTTCTTTTTTTTTATTAAATGTTTTTATTTTGGATTGAGTGAAA